GCTTGTGCTCTCTAGGCTGGAATACTGCTGTACACTAACGGCCCCCTTTCAAGGCTGGCGACATTGCAGACCTGGAGAGTGTACAAAGAACTTTCACGGCACACATAAGTGTGATAAGGCACCTAAACTACTGGGAACGGTTGAAGGTCCTTGATCTGTATTCCCTGGAACGCAGGCGAGAGAGATACATGATAATATACACTTGGAAGGTCCTGGAGGGATTGGTACCAAACCTGCACACGAAAAACACTCCATATGAAAGCAAAAGACTCGACAGGAGATGCAACATTCCCCCGATGAAAAGTAGGGGCGCCACAGTCTTGGGCCCCGGACACAATAAGTGTCCGGGGCCCAAGACTGTTCAATTGCTTCCCAGCAAACATAAGGGGGATTACCAATAGACCCCTGACTTTTTTCAAGAAGGCACTGGACAGGCTTCTAAAGTCAGTTCCTGACCAACCAGGCTGTGATTCGTACGTCAGCTTGCGTGTGGACAGCAGTAACAGCCTGATTGATCAGATCCTGATCCACCATGAGGCCTGGTCTCAGACCAAGCCGCGGGGGCGTTGACCCCTGAAACTTTCTCCAGGTAAACTCCAGGATGGTATAGTGACTATCGTAAAGATGGTATAGTGACTATCGTAAAGATGGTATAGTGACTATCGTAAAGATGGTATAGTGACTATCGTAAAGATGGTATAGTGACTATCGTAAGGATGGTATAGTGACTATCGTAAAGATGGTATAGTGACTATCGTAAAGATGGTATAGTGACTATCGTAAAGATGGTATAGTGACTATCGTAAAGATGGTATAGTGACTATCGTAAAGATGGTATAGTGACTATCGTAAAGATGGTATAGTGACTATCGTAAAGATGGTATAGTGACTATCGTAAAGATGGTATAGTGACTATCGTAAAGATGGTATAGTGACTATCGTAAAGATGGTATAATGACTATCGTAAAGATGGTATAGTGACTATCGTAAAGATGGTATAGTGACTATCGTAAGGATGGTATAGTGACTATCGTAAGGATGGTACAGTTACTATCGTAAGGATGGTACAGTGACTATCGTAAGGATGGTACAGTTACTATCGTAAGGATGGTATAACGTCTATTGTAAGGATGGTACAGTGACTATCGTAAGGATGGTACAGTTACTATCGTAGGGTCGCGACATTTACATCTAGCTGTAATCTTGCGCACCATTTCCGCTTCTCAACTTTTCCCGCGCAAAAATATTGTTGTGGTTGTCCTTGGTTTCCCGCGCTTTTCTGCTCTTCCTTATAACTGTTTATTTTGTGTTCGTACCTGTTTGTCAGGAAGGGTTGGTAACTGTGTCAGGAAGTGTTGGTAACTATGTGTTAGGAAGGGTTGGTAACTGTGTGTCAGGAAGTGTTGGTAACTGTGTGTCAGGAAGGGTTGGTAACTGTGTCAGGAAGTGTTGGTAACTGTGTGTCAGGAAGTGTTGGTAACTGTGTGTCAGGAAGTGTTGGTAACTGTGTCAGGAAGTGTTGGTAACTGTGTGTCAGGAAGGGTTGGTAACTGTGTGTCAGGAAGGGTTGGTAACTGTGTGTCAGGAAGGGTTGGTAACTGTGTGTCAGGAAGTGTTGGTAACTGTGTGTCAGGAAGTGTTGGTAACTGTCTTTTGGGAAGGGTTGGTACCTGTGTGTCAGGAAGGGTTGGTAACTGTCTTTTGGGAAGGGTTGGTACCTGTGTGTCAGGAAGGGTTGGTAACTGTCTTTTGGGAAGGGTTGGCACCTGTGTGTCAGGAAGGGTTGGCACCTGTGTGTCAGGAAGGGTTGGTACCTGTGTGTCAGGAAGGGTTTGTAACTATCTTTTGGGAAGGGTTGGCACCTGTGTGTCAGGAATGGTTGGTAACTGTCTTTTGGGAAGGGTTGGCACCTGTGTGTCAGGAAGGGTTGGCACCTGTGTGTCAGGAAGGGTTGGTACCTGTGTGTCAGGAAGGGTTGGTACCTGTGTGTCAGGAAGGGTTGGTATCTGTGGGTCAGGAAGGGTTGGTATCTGTGTGTCAGGAAGGGTTGGTACCTGTGTGTCAGGAAGGGTTGGTATCTGTATGTCAGCATGGATCAGGGTCTGATTAACCAGACTATTACTGTTGGCCGCATGCAAACTGACGTACGAACCACAGCCCGGCTGGTCAGGCACTGACTTTAGGTGCCTGTCCAGTGCCTTCTTGAAGACAGCCAGGGGTCTATTGGCAATCCCCCTTATGTATGCTGGGAGACAGTTGAACAGTCTTGGGCCCCGGACACTTACTGTGTTGTCTCTCAGTGTACTCGTGGCGCTGATGCTTTTCATCGGGGGAATGTTGCCTCTCCTGCCGAGTCTTTTGCTTTCATAGGAAGTGATTTTCGTGTGCAAGATTGGTACTAATCTCTCCAGGATTTTCCAAATGTATATTATGATGAGTCTCTCTCGCCTGCATTCCAGGGAATACAAATCAAAGGACTTCAACCATTCCCAGTAATTTAGGTGCCTTATCGTACTTATGTGTGCTGTGAAAGTTCTTTGTACATTCCAGATCAGCAATTTCGCCTCTTTTGAAGGGGGCCGTTAGTGTACAACAGTATTCCAGCCTAGAGAGAATAAGCAATTTGAAGGGAATCATGACGGGCTTAGCGTCTCTAGTTTTGAAGGTTCTCATTATCCATCCTATCATTTTCCTAGCGGATGAGGTAGATACATTGTTGTGGTCTTTGAAGGCAAGATTCTCTGACATTATCACTCTCAGGTCTTTCATGTTACTTTTTCACTCTATTGTATGGTAAATATTTAATCCTCAAGTTTTCCATATCTGAGTAGTTGAAATTTCTCTTCATTGAACTTCGTATTGTTTTGAGTGGCCCCTTTGAAGATTTGGTTGATGTCCTCTTGGAGTCTTGCAGTTTTGCAATCAATTATTCTTTTTTTTTATCCAGGGTTTGTCAAGGTTAGGTTAAGGATCCCTAGCTTAACTAACAAGCTATTTACAGGTTAAGGATTCCTAGCTTAACTAACAAGCTATTTACAGGTTAAGGATTCCTAGCTTAACTAACAAGCTATTTACAGGTTAAGGATTCCTAGCTTTATTGACAAGCTCTCGGGTGTCCACCGCAAAGGAAGACGCGGACTTATGTCTTACATCTCTGTCTGTGTCAGATATGAGGATGAGGAATTGGATGAGAGCGAGTACTGTGCCTTGTGGAACAGAGCTTTTCACCGTAGCTGCCTCAGACTTTACTCTGTTTACTATTACTCTTTGTGTTCTATTGTCAGGAAGTTATAGATCCATCTACCAACTTTTCCTGTTATTCTTTTATAACGCATTTTATGCGCCATTACACCATGGTCACACTTGTCGAAGGCTTTTGCAAAGTCTGTATGTACTACATCTGCATTTTGTGTATCGTCTATAGCATCCCAGACCTTGTCATAGTGGTCCAGTAGCTGGGACAGGCAGGAGCGACCTGTTCTAAACCCATGTTGCCCTGGGTTGTGTAACTGATGGATATCTAGGTGGTTGGCGATCTTGCTTCTTAGAACCCTTTCAAAGATTTTTATGATATGGGATGTTAGTGCTATCGGTCTGTAGTTCTTTGCAATTGCTTTACTGTCACCTTTGTGGAGTGGAACTATGTCTGTTGTTTTTAGTGAATGTGGGATGACCTCTGTGTCCATGCTACCTCTCCATGAGTCTGGGTCTGGGGCAGAGTGCATGAGTTGGTAAGTGTGTTTCGGGAAGTGTCGCTAACTGTTGAGTATTGTGTCAGTAAGTGATAGTAACTGTGTCAGTAGGTGCTGGTTGTTATGTCAGTATTGTGTCGGTAAGTGTTGGTTGTTGTGTCAGTATTGTGTCCGTAGTGCTGGTTGTGTTAGTTGCGTCAGTAAGTGCTGTTTGTTGTGTCATCAGTGTCAGTAAGTGCTGGTTGCTGTGTCAGCAAGTGCTGTACCTAGTAACCTTCGCCCTCTGCACCTCAGTGATGCGAGAGATTTACCCTGGTGACCTGTAACACAAGTTAACCTCCGGCCCTTGTACCTCCAGGATGCTGGAACCAGCCCAGGTTACGCTTCACTACGCCCCCTCAACCTCAGTCATGTGACAGAAATCCCCTCTATGGGCTTAACTATTCTCAAAAAAAAAAAAAAAATTCTCTCTCTCTCTCTCTCTCTCTCTCTCTCTCTCTCTCTCTCTCTCTCTCTCTCTCTTTATCTATGTATCTATCTATCTATCTCTCTCTCTCATGTGTTTTAACGTGATTTTGTGTCCATGTCCACATTTATTAATTTTACGTATTATTCGTGTTTTTGTACATTATGTATGTCGTATCTATTCTCTCTCTCGCGCGCACGCACACACACACACACACACACACACACACACACACACACACACACACACACACACACACACACACACACACACACACACACACACGACACTGGAGGACAGGAGGGTTAGGAGAGACATGATAACGACATACAAAATACTGCTAGGAATTGACAAGGTGGACAAAGACAGGATGTTCCAGAGATGGGACACAGGAACAAGGGGTCACAACTGGAAGTTGAAAACTCAGATGAGTCAGAGATGTTAGTAAGTATTTCTTTAGTCATAGAGTTGTCAGGGAGTGCAGTAATCTGGCAAGTGATGCAGTGGAGGCGGGAACCATACATAGTTTTAAGACGAGGTATGATAAAGCTCATTAAGCAGGGAGAGAGAGGACCTAGTAGCGATCAGTGAAGAGGCGGGGCCAGGAGCTATGTCTCGACCCCTGCATCTACAAATAGGTGAGTACACACACACACAACACACATTGTTACACACACACATGCATGCACACACACATACACACACACAGGCGGGGCCAGGAGCTATGACCCTACCCCTGCAACCACTATTAGGTGGGTACAATTAGATGAGTACACACACATAAACACACAATGTTAAACTCCCATGTAAAGAGCTTTAATTCTGTCTTATGTTTGCAGTTGTGAACTTCAACTGTAGCAGACGTGAGGGGCATCAAAGAAGAAACTCCAGAGTGCTGGTAGTTGGTGGGCGTGTGATGGTGGGCGTCGGTGTGGGTGGTGGGCGTGCGTGAGGCTGCCCTCCACTATGCACACAGTGCGGCCCAGTGCCCCGCATCAAACCCGCAGTCAGCCACAAGTGTCTCGCACTGAATCTTTGAGGTCGGAGCGCTCAGACAAGCGGGTGTCCTTCAATAAGGACGTCGGAGTGAAGCATATTCCGCGGGGCGCACAAAAGACCACAGTTCGCATCAGTCCAAACCGCGACGACGAGTGGGCCAATTGTTCGCAAGTGCACCGCGAACCTGTCTCACTGTCATCACGGGAGCTGGAGCAGCAAGCTGAGCATCTGGTCAAGCTACTGGATCACGTCAACTGTGACGTAAACACCCGCTCCCTTGATCGTCCTTCCAAAAACAAGAACAGCAATACGAAGAACCTGGCCCATCACACCTACAATAACGTTCTTTTTAACAACGTCAAAAACACCAACGTGATAAACGGAGAGAATCGTGGGCGGCCAAGGGACCTTCCTGCCTCCCGGACCACAAACCCTATCAACAGGAGGATCAAGGGTGACGTTAACAGAACCCGTGCTCATCATCCCCTTCCTAACGGTGGGCCTCTCTCCCATCGGCACAAATCCGCCGATCATTTACCTGACACAGAACTAGAAGATTCCCCGCCCCTGCCTCGACGAGGTAACCATCTAGCTGCCCATAAGTCTGTTCCCGACCTGTATGCCCCATACTCCAAAAGAGAAGGTTCTGGTCAGCGTGAGAACAATTTTCACCATGCTGAGAATCGCAGCAGCAACCTGAGTCGAGCAGCACCAGCGTCGGCCTACAAATCTGTAGACAATCTTGCAGACGGCAGCAGTCAGGGCATAGGCAGCCGTCTTCAAGGATTCAAGTCGGTGGGAAATCTTCCATCAGTGGCGATTTCTGAAACGGACGACGATTTCGACCAGTATCCATTATATAAACCCCGCGTGGGCAAGATCATCAAGAAATTCAACAAAAACGCCGAGGAGGTGCCACATCAGCCACTGACGGAGCTAAGTGAAATGGAACCGGGTCAGCGGGGGACCCTTGAACCTGACCGCTACCGCAACCACAACAACAACCAACCCTTCAGCTACACTGGCACAGCACCTTTGGCCTCTGTACAAGCCGTCAGGAGACTTTCCCCACCCCGTGATACAGGCCGCCCAACCCCACCTCGAGATACAGGCCGCCCTACCCCTCCCCGTGATACCCCACCTCGTGAAGCCCCTGTCTACGCGCAAGTCAATAAGCGTGACGGTCGTCCACCCCACGCCAGTGGACGTCGAGAAATGGACAGAAACTACCACAACTCTCGTCAGGAGAGAGAGTACTCCGCCAAGATCATCATCACAGAAGATGACACGGACCGCCATCGTTCCCCTTACCACGACCCCTATGATGACCACTACCATGACACACCACCTAAGAACCAATATCAGGACGACGACGATGATGACGACGACGCCTACGAGAGCTACCAGGTACCTGAGGACAACCTGAGGCGCTTGATTCACGATGATCTAGAAGAATACAAGGAACACTTCAACAATAACATTAATATGTCATCTGTGGGAGTGCAGACAGAGTCACTGCCTAAAGCCCCAACTCGCTCACGCCAACGAAGTCACAAGAGCCCAGCGCCCTCTCCCACCCGAACCCCAGTTCATAACAAACAGCCCATGCAAAAGCAGGCATTCAGGCAGCAGGAACAACCACTCCGACATCAGGAGCAGAAGCAACAACCACCTACTTACCACCAGTCAAAACAGCAGAATTACTTCCCTCATCAGGAGCAGCAGCGAGGCCGAACAAGCATCCATAATAACTTGACCTCAGCCACGCTTGTTCGACAAGTCAATCATGGTTTTGGCAGGACTGATCGTTCTCCTTCACCGCCGCCACGAGTTTCCGCCACCCGCCAGCCACGTCGGAATGTTGTTCCACTCCTTTCTGATACCTCAGACTCTGAGGGAGAATACCGGGGACGTACAGTGGACCCACTGGCTAGAATCAGAGATCAGGTGATGCAGCGGGAGAAGCTGCAAGAGGAAGAGGAGGAAGAGGAAGAAGCTACTGCTGTGGCTCGGTTGAGGCGGCCACCTCTACAAGAGAGCTCCACCATGCCATATCGGGCTGAAGAGATGACGCCTTTGACCATCGACGAGGTGGATGCTCTTAGTCTCGTTATGGAAGACACGGGTAGAAAATCTCTTGTAGTCTCCAACCAAGCACAGTCGACCACCGTCACCCGTGTTTCCAACCACCGGTCTCGTCACACGGAGACCATCACAGAGCGCCACCATACTACTCGTGAGCCCATCACAGAGCACCAGCACACCAGCCGTGAACCTGTTACAGAGCACCACCACACCACTCGTGAACCCATCCAAGAGCGCCACCACTCTGAACCCCGCGAAAAAGACAGCCTCTCGCGGCCTCAAAAGCCACTAAGAGATAAAAACCATGCCTCCCGTGAGGCCACGCCCACGCGGAAGGGAAGGGACACACCCACACACAAGGACCAACCTACCCTGGAGAAGAAAAAAAATAACCTGGAAAAGAATAAGAAGAACAACCTGGAGAAGGAGCGAGTCACTAAGGCTGCAGCTAAGCAGAAGGAAGAGAAAAAGAAGAAGAAACGGATCAAGATCAAGTTCTTCTACGACCCTCGACCCCAGGACGACCCTGATGTGGACCCCCTAGCTAACTTCACGGAATTCCGGGGTACATCTTCTGACGAGCGAGTCTCGCCTCGTAACGACCGCACCGATCTGGACGATACACGAGACGATCCGGTAAAACGACGCAGTGAGGAGCGAGAGATTAGCGGTGGAGACGATTATCAGCGTCGTCGCGATCTGCCAGATGTCTTGGAAGATGCAACCCCCATTAGAGAGCTTCGTGCAGGGTCCCGCGAGCGTCTGGATACAACGCCGCGAGCAGGAAAGCGTGGCCAGCGAGACAACGCTCGAGAGAGATCCTACGACTCTTACGACTATAAGCGCCGAGGCTCCAAAGACTCCAGGGACTCCCGCGACAATCGCAGTCGTTCCCGCGACGACCACGCCCCCTACGACGACGAGCGCGACGAGAGACGCAATAACTACGAGCGCACGAGGGAGTACGACCACCACGACGAGGAGGACGAGGTGGATGAACGGGGGTCACCGGATGGCAGGCCAGGTCGTAGTCTCAGCGATAAGTATCGAACCGGTCCCTTATACGACCCTCCTGACGACCCACACTTGGACGACCACCAGGATGACCACCTCCCACATCAGCCACAGCCACAGCCCCCATCAGAGGTAAAATAATTTGATAGGTTTAATACCGACTGCATGAGAGCCAGTCTGGCTGTATTTCGACTGTTCACTTGCTTCGAGGGAAGGGTTCCTGGACACCATGTAACAGAGATTCAGATAACAGATCTTAATCTGTAAATGAGCAGAATTCGGATAACGAACTGAGCTGATATAAGATAACCTCTAAACCTGTAAGATGAGTCGGAATAACAGCTTATAGGCAGGTTAAGATTTGAGAAACGATAATGTTATTATATTATCATATTTAAGTACCTTATCTGAGGTAGGATAATAGCTGTTAGTACATTATCTGAGGTAGGATAATAGCTGTTAGTACATTATCTGAGGTAGGATAATAGCTGTTAGTACATTATCTGAGGTAGGATAATAGCTGTTAGTACATTATCTGAGGTAGGATAATAGCTGTTAGTACATTATCTGAGGTAGGATAATAGCTGTTAGTACATTAGCTGAGGTAGGATAATAGCTGTTAGTACATTATCTGAGGTAGGATAATAGCTGTTAGTACATTATCTGAGGTAGGATAATAGCTGTTAGTACATTAGCTGAGGTAGGATAATAGCTGTTAGTACATTATCTGAGGTAGGATAATAGCTGTTAGTACATTAGCTGAGGTAGGATAATAGCTGTTAGTTCATTAAATGAGACAGGATAATTGCTCTTAGCCTATAAATGTGATATGATACCATCTGATAGCCAGTATATGAACCGAAGTTGGATAACACAATTAGGATAATTTCCCTAAGTCAATGAAAGAGCTAAGGTAGGATAACATCTCTTAACCTATAAACCGCTCTTAGCCAGTTAATGAGCTGAGGAAGGATATTATTGTTTCAGCATGTCAACTAGCTGAGGAAGGATATTATTGTTTCAGCATGTCAACTAGCTGAGAAGGATATTATTGTTTCAGCATGTCAACTAGCTGTGGAAGGATATTATTGTTTCAGCATGTCAACTAGCTGTGGAAGGATATTATTGTTTCAGCATGTCAACTAGCTGTGGAAGGATATTATTGTTTCAGCATGTCAACTAGCTGTGGAAGGATATTGTTTCAGCATGTCAACTAGCTGAAGAAGGATATTATTGTTTCAGCATGTCAACTAGCTGTAGAAGGATATTATTGTTTCAGCATGTCAACTAGCTGTGGAAGGATATTATTGTTTCAGCATGTCAACTAGCTGAGGAAGGATATTATTGTTTCAGCATGTCAACTAGCTGAAGAAGGATATTATTGTTTCAGCATGTCAACTAGCTGAGGAAGGATATTATTGTTTCAGCATGTCAACTAGCTGAAGTAGGATAACAGCAGTTAGTCTGTATATGAGCTGGGGTGGGATAACAGAACTTAAGATGCCAGTGAGTCCAAGTTAGTCTCTTAATATGTAAATAACTGGAAATAGAATAACAGTTGTTGACCAGAATATTCAACCGTGTAGAAACTTATCTTTACGCTTATTTCATGAATATTTCAACTCCAGCTACAGAAATTAATTTATTTGTATATACATGAAGATATGCGCATTTCTTTGTGTATATACACTGAGAAATATATATATATGTCGTGCCGAATAGGCAGAACTTGCGATCTTGGCTTAAATAGCAACGTTCATCTTGCCATATAGGACAAGTGAAAATTTGTGTATGCAATAATTTCGCCAAAATCATTCTGAACCTAACGAAAAAAATATATTTCACTGTGTTTGGTTAGTATTAAATTATTGTAAACAAATCTAAAATATATTTAGTTGGGTTAGGCTAAAATAAATTGTGCTTGTTATAATAAGGTTAGGTAAGTTTTCTAATATTCTTTTGGTGCAAAATTATAATTTTTTACATCAACATTAAAGAAAAAAATATATATTTAAACGTATAAGAGAAAATTTCAGAAAGGACTTAATTTTAAACGAGTTCTTGCTAACTGACCAGTTTTACATATTCGGCACGATATATATATATATATATATATATATATATATATATATATATATATATATATATATATATATATATATATATATATATATATATATATATATATATATAGTCCCTTTATATAAAGGGAAGGGGGACAAAAGAGATTGTAAAAATTATAGAGGAATAAGTTTACTGAGTATACCAGGATAATTGTATGGTAGGATTATTATTGAAAGAATTAGAGGTAAGACAGAATGTAGGATTGCGGATGAGCAAGGAGGTTTCAGAGTGGGTAGGGGATGTGTAGATCAAGTGTTTACATTGAAACATATGTGAACAGTATTTAGATAAAGGTAGGGAAGTTTTTATTGAATTTATGGATTTAGAAAAAGCAAATGATAGAGTGGATAGGGGAGCAATGTGGCAGATGTTGCAAGTATATGGAATAGGTGGTAAGTTACTAAATGCTGTAAAGAGTTTTTATGAGGATAGTGAGGCTCAGGTTAGGGTGTGTAGAAGAGAGGGAGAATACTTCCCGGTAAAAGTAGGTCTTAGACAGGGATGTGTAATGTCACCATGAAATTAAGACACATGTGCAACATCTGGGTATCTTTATTGTAGACGTTTCGCCATCCAGTGGCTTTATCAATACAAATTCCAGGACATAACTTTATCAATGATAAAGCCACTGGATGGCGAAACGTCTACAATAAAGATACCCAGATGTTGCACATGTGTCTTAATTTCATCTTGTTGGTATTGCATACCATTCTTGCACAATGTTACCGTGGTTGTTTAATATATTTATAGATGGGGTTGTAAAAGAAGTAAATGCTAGGGTGTTCGGGAGAGGGGTGGGATTAAATTATGGGGAATCAAATTCAAAATGGGAATTGACACAGTTACTTTTTGCTGATGATATTGTGCTTATGGGCGTTTCTAAAGAAAAATTGCAAAGGTTAGTGGATGAGTTTGGGAGTGTGTGTAAAGGTAGAAAGTTGAAAGTGAACATAGAAAAGAGTAAGGTAATGAGGATATCAAATGATTTAGATAAAGAAAAATTGGATATCAAATTGGGGAGGAGGAGCATGGAAGAAGTGAATGTTTTCAGATACTTGGGAGTTGACGTGTCGGCAGATGGATTTATGAAGAATGAGGTTAATCATAGAATTGATGAGGGAAAAAAGGTGAGTGGTGCGTTGAGGTATATGTGGAGACAAAAACGTTATCTATGGAGGCAAAGAAGGGAATGTATGAGAGTATAGTAGTACCAACACTCTTATAATGGATGTGAAGCTTGGGTGGTAAATGCAGCAGCGAGGAGACGGTTGGAGGCGTGGAGATGTCCTGTCTAAGGGCAATGTGTGGTGTAAATATTATGCAGAAAATTCGGAGTGTGGAATTTTTTTTTTTTTTTATGAAGATGATAGACGCTTGTAACAATCTACAGTTTTCTGCAGAGTTTCGAACTGGGGTCTGTTGAGGTGGTTTGGTTATTTAGAGAGAATGAATCAAAGTAGAATGACATGGAGAGTATTTAAATCTGTAGGAAAAGGAAGGCGAGGTAGGGGTCGTCCTCGAAAAGGTTGGAAGGAAGGGGTAAGGGAGGTTTTGTGGGCGTTGGGCTTGGACTTCCAGCAGGCGTGCATAAGCGTGTTAGATAGGAGTGAATGGTGATGAATGTTATTTGGGACCTGACGATCTGTTGGAGTGTGAGCAGGGTAATATTTAATGAAGGGATTCAGGGAAACCGGTTATTTTTATATAGCCGGACTTGAGTCCTGGAAACGGGAAGTACAATGCCTGCACTTTAAAGGAGGGGTTCGGGATATTAGCAGTTTGGAGGGATATGTTGTGTATCTTTATACGTATATGCTTCTAAACTGTTGTGTTCTGAGCACCTCTGCAAAAACAGTGATTATGTGTGAGTGAGGTGAAAGAGTTGAATGATAAAAGTATTTTCTTTTTGGGAATTTTCTTTCTTTTTTGGGTCACCCTGCCTCGGTGGGAGACGGCCGACTTGGTAAAAAAAATTATATATATATATATATATATATATATATATATATATATATATATATATATATATATAATGTGTGTGTGTGTGTGTGTGTGTGTGTGTTATTTTAAATCATATAAAGATGTTCTTAATTCAAATAACTGGAGACACTCGTGTCTTTTCTTTGATCAGTCTCGATAACTTGTCATTCCCGAGGCTCTGTATGACCTCCACGGGTCTTTTAGTTCATAAAGGTACTACTACTAATAATAATAATAATAATAATAATAATAATAATAATTATTATAATAATGATAATAATGTCTTTAACAGGAGGAAGAGAAGAAAGAAAAGATAAATAGACAGAGAAACAAATTCCTGTCAGCTTTGATGAGTGATGGTCGGAACAAATCCTCCACCACCAAGACAAAGACCTCCAACACTAAGTCTTCCTCCAACACTGCCTCCAACACCAACACCAGCAAGAGCAAGTCCAAAGACCCTTCTCCCTCGAGGAAGACTAAGAAAGGACCGGCGCCACCTCAGCCCTCTCCACCACCACTCCAGGACACACCTGAGAAGTCGAAAACTCAGGTGAGATTGATATGTAACTCAACCTGACCTATCCATACACCACCACCCCAGGACACACCTGAGAAGTACAAACATCAGGTGACATTGACCTTAAACTCTGACCTGACCTTACAAACCCGTGTGACACAATTGAGAAGTCCAAACTTCAGGTGAGACTGATCTGATTCTGATCTAACCTTGAAATGCCCTGATTCTACTGGATCATCACCTGACTTAAATTTAGCCTGTTCTTGAATTAACTTTAGCCTACACTAGCTCCTGACTTTGTGAGCTGAATTAAGCCTGACTAGATTTCTAACTTAGACTCGACCTGAAGCCCTCATAGCATTGTTGGTGTTGATTTACTACTGTCCTGAGTTTGCAGATTTAAATTACACTTGACCTGGCCTGAATTTATTTTAAGGACCCTGCAAGTCATGTGTCCCGCTGTTAGCTACTGGCACTTATTTTGAGAAACTGGAGCTAACTGCCCTTTCTTCAGTTCAAGCCAGATTGCCTCTACTTTCCAAGGGTAAGCCAGTACTGGCTCAGCATGTCACTTTGAAAATGAATCTAAGAACACTGTTTTTCGGACTCTGGGGTATTACACTATTCTCACTTTGTTGCTTGGTACTCTGACACATGAGGGCACTATGTTGCTGTAGGCTTGGTGTGGGTACAACCTGTCTAGCTTAGTAGGAATGCTGCAGTGAGAAGTATCTGCGGATGGGGTTAGGACCACTAACGGTACCTTTGTGATGGAAACAGACTACACATTTGTGCTCATACTCTGTAGTCTCCATTGCCATCCTTGGCCAGAAATATTTCATCCTTGCCATTCTGACTCTGACATCTTTATCTATATGTGCTGCACTCAGAACATCATGAATCAACTGGTAAAACTCTCCGCCAGCTGGTGATCCCAGCTGGCGGATAGTTCTACTAGGATCCTCGAGTCCTAGCCATTTGGAATAGGACTCGTAAAGTATTGACCAAGACCTTCACAGTAACAGGAGGGTTGATCTGCAAGTTGGCAGCCTCCTTAGTCAAGAAGCGGAAAACAGGTGACCAAACTGGGTCTCGACACTGGGTTATCTCTCTCTAGAACCTCAATGAAAATGAATTGTCAGTGCAAATAAAAGAAATATTCCTCAGCAGAGCATTGGTAGCAGCGTTTTACTTATCAGAAACATAGACGATTTCTAGGTTATAGTCATTGAAAGAGTAAGAGGCCACAGAGAATGCTTTCCTGAGAGATTTTCGTTTGCAGAGAGAGACAACAGAGACAAATGATCAAATATAAATCTTGATGGGATATTCGTAGTTATAATCTAGAAAATGACACAAGGCCCAGACAGTGGCTATGTTCTTGAGCTCTGTGACAGTAGTCTATCGTGGCTCTGGTAAGAATGACTAGCATAGGCTATTGGCATACCATTGGGCACATGCGATAAACGGTCCTAATGCCAACTTTGGTGAAGTCAGGAAATTTGAGAACCGGGTCTGATGTTAACCTATTCTAAAGCATGAAAATACTCTTTCCTGGTCACAAGTCCACTCAAAGGGAACATCATTTTTGAGAATTAGTCATTGGTGCAGCACTAGTAAAGTAACTGGTAATGAAAGTATGGTAGGATCAATCAGGTCTATGAAGTAGCGAACTATACCTGCTGTTATAGTCTTGGGAAATTCTGATTGGCAGAGAGTTTGGACTCATTTACCTTTATGCCATCTTGAGTCAATGCATGACCCAAAAATTTCATCTGTTTATTGAAATACTGGCATTTAGAGAGCTTGACCTTGAGTTTAGCCTTGGCCAGTTTGACCAATACCTGCTCAAGTTTTATAAGATGAGAAGATACATCCTGAGACATTACAATGAGACTGTCTTAGTAAATCATAAGCTTGTTATTTAGAAGATTGATATATTGTCATCATCAGACAGTTGAATATTATAGGGCTACTCTTTAACCCAAATGACAAAATTTTGAACGGATAATGTCTGGCATAGAGAACGAGAATACCATAAATTCTTTATTGTGATCACCAAGAGGAAGCTGCCAAAAGCCCTGTAGAAGGTAAAGTCAAAATTTTTGTTGCCAACCTTCTGCAATAAGTCATCCAATACTGGCAGTGGGAATCCGTCTGGGATTGTACTGACAATGAATTTCCTGTAGTCGATTACAAGACCCCATGTCCCATCCATCATAGGCACAAGAGTGAGTGGAGAGTTCCTCAGGAAGTAGTCTTAAGTACCTCCATTATAGAGCAAATTAACAATTAGTTCATCAGAAACACTTTGCACATAAGGTAAGCAATAAGCAGGTACGTAAATAGGCGCAACACCTTTTTCAAAATGGATATGATGTGAAATATGTGGGTTCAATTCCATAAGTTCACCATCTAATGTGACTGCTGAGCAAGCACTGTTAAGCACATTGAGAAGTCTAGGAACTTCACCAGAACTGTCATAGCTAGGGTACACTCCTACACTGGCTGGGTTACGGAAGATTCACTAGATTCTGTTGGAAGAACTGCATCTGATGGCACTTTTCTTTCGACTCTCAAAAGGAGAGGTAATATGATGAGGTCTACCAGCACCTGGTCTCCTTCAAAACCATGATTCACAAATACCATAACTAGAGTAAGTAAGTTAGCTGACAGTGACATCATTCTTTGTACAAGCTCTAACTTTGCTCACAGAAGCTATGGCATAATTCAGATAATCACCTGCCATCAGGGATCCACCTGAGGCTTGATTACTTTTACCATCATGATCAGAATTCGAGTTAGAGCAGAAGTTAGACTGAACATCCTCAGATTGATTTTTACTCGTAAATGTGTTGATAATCAGGAGGTGCGGTGACACGTACTTCCTAGGTGGTTATAAGTGAGACTAAGCGCTTGGAGATTCTGCGTTTAGACCTTAGTTTAAAGGTTTCTAACAAACAGAGACAAAACTCTGACACTGAGCTGATACGGGAACTATGCATCTAGTGTGGAAATCTGCATCAGTTAAACTGACTTTTTCGATTCAAGGATGAGGTTGATATGATGAGGTCTAGCTGGCTCCTGCAAAACGTCGAAATCCATGCGATGTTGTGACAGTGGCTATCATTCTTGTTCTACGCTCACAAAGCTATGCATATCGGTAATAGGATCAGGGTCTACCTTAGGTCCTGATAGTCTTGTTGAGCGGATAAGGTCAGAATGGTCTTGTGAGGCAGGTTAGGTCAGGCATGGTCTTGATGAGCGTTGTAAGGTCAGGATGGTCTTGTGAGTCGGTACAGTCATGGCATGGTCTTGTGAGGAAGATTAGGTCTGGAGATGGTCTTGTGTAGCGTAGGTTCAGATGGTTTGTGAAGACTGTTACAGGTCAGGGCATAGTCTTGTGAGGGGTTAAGGTCAGGCATGATCTTGTAGAGCGGTAAGGTCAGACGATAGGTCTGGACGGTAAGGTCAGGGGCATAGTCTTGTGAGCGGTTAAGAGTCAGGCATTGTTTGTGAGGGTATCAAGGTCAGGCATTGTTCTTGTGAGCGTTAAGGTCAGGCATGGTCCTTGTGAGCGGTAGCGTAGGCATGGTCTTGTGAGGGGATAAGGTCAGGCATGGTCTTGTGAGCGGTAAGGTCAGGCATGGTCTTGTGAGCGGTAAGGTCAGGCATGAGTCTTGTGAGCGGTAAGGTCAGGCATGGTCTTGTGAGCGGTAAGGTCAGGCATGGTCTTGTGAGCGGTAAGGTAGGCATGGTCTTGTGAGCGGTAAGGTCAGGCATGTCTTGTGAGCGGTAAGGTCAGGCATGGTCTTGTGAGCGGTAAGGTCAGGCATGGTCTTGTGAGCGGTAAGGTCAGGCATGGTCTTGTGAGCGGTAAGGTCAGGCATGGTCTTGTGAGGGGTAAGGTCAGGCATGGTCTTGTGTGGGTAGGTCAGAGGTCTGTGAGGGTAAGGTCAGGCATGGTCTTGTGAGCGGTAAGGTCAGGCATGTCTTGTGAGGGGTAAGGTCAGGCATGGTCTTGTGAGCGGTAAGGTCAGGCATGGTCTTGTGAGCGGTTAAGGTCAGGCATGTCTTGTGAGCGGGTAAGGTCAGGCATGGTCTTGTGAGCGGTAAGGTCAGGCATGGTCTTGTGAGCGGTAAGGTCAGGCATGGTCTTGTGAGGGGTAAGGTCAGGCATGGTCTTGTGAGCGGTAAGGTCAGGCATGGTCTTGTGAGCGGTAAGGTCAGGCATGGTCTTGTGAGCGGTAAGGTCAGGCATGGTCTTGTGAGCGGTAAGGTCAGGCATGGTCTTGTGAGGGGTAAGGTCAGGCATGGTCTTGTGAGCGGTAAGGTCAGGCATGGTCTTGTGAGCGGTAAGGTCAGGCATGGTCTTGTGAGGGTAAGGTCAGGCATGGTCTTGTGAGCGGTAAGGTCAGGCATGGTCTTGTGAGCGGTTAAGGTCAGGCATGGTCTTGTGAGGCGGTAAGGTCAGGCATGGTCTTGTGAGCGGTAAGGTCAGGCATGGTCTTGTGAGCGGTAAGGTCAGGCATGGTCTTGTGAGCGGTAAGGTCAGGCATGGTCTTGTGAGCGGTAAGGTCAGGCATGGTCTTGTGAGCGGTAAGGTCAGGCATGGTCTTGTGAGCGGTAAGGTCAGGCATGGTCTTGTGAGGGGTAAGGTCAGGCATGGTCTTGTGAGCGGTAAGGTCAGGCATGGTCTTGTGAGCGGTAAGGTCAGGCATGGTCTTGTGAGCGGTAAGGTCAGGCATGGTCTTGTGAGCGGTAAGGTCAGGCATGGTCTTGTGAGCGGGTAAGGTCAGGCTGGTCTTGTGAGCGGTAAGGTCAGAGCAGTCTTGTGGCTAAGGTCAGGATGAGTTCCTGTGTGATGCTAAGGTCAGCCAGTGTGGCTGCAGGCAAGGCCATGGTTGTGAGCGGTAGGTCAGGCAGCCGTGTGGCTGCAGGCAGCCAGTGTGGCGGTAGGCAAGCCAGGTTGTGAGCTGCAGGCAAGCATGGTGGCTGCAGGCGAAGCAGATGGCTTGCAGGCGAAGGCAGGA